ACCCCTCGCGGTACGTGTGAAGGTGTTAAGTGGTGTAGGGCAGGCACGCTCCTTCCGAAGCTGGTGAGCTAAGCTGGTGAGCTATGTCTCGGGCGGAACAGCAGTTGGTGCTTGGTTGCGCGTGGTAGGGGAGGACGAAAAATATCCACTTGGCTTCGAAGAGACGACCAACAGATTGAAAATGTAACAATAGCAGCTCAATATGCTTTGCAGCGTTCTTGGCAACAAATGGACTGAGTACCCTGTTGATTTACGATTGTGGCTAATTGATCTGTTGTGTTGTTTTGTTGCCGATCCACGTAAATTTCTTTTTCTTTTCCTTTCCGTTGTTGTTGGTTCTGACTCTGCCCAGGTGCCGAAGGAAAATCGCAACCGCTACGCCACGACCGGCCTGGGGCTGACGAGCAGAGTGGTGGGCACTGATCCCACCTTCAAGAGGCTTGACACCAACTGTGCTCGCAGGGCTTACGGGTAAGCCAGCGCCTAGCCCAGCGTACTCTAGCGTTACCCAATAGCCCTGCCTGACTCCGGGCCCGAGTATGCCGAACCTTTTGTGTTGAGACGCAACCGAGGTGATTGGAGAAAAGAATGATTTCGAGCGTAGGCTTGAGGCGATCAAGGAGTTTCACACGGCATCACTCGGCTGTGGGCTACTTTTCAGGTGGATCCCGACTATGTCTTCTACCGTTGTTGTCGCCCTTGTTGAGTTCTATTGACATCATCACGTAGCATAGCAACAGCAGCAGCACGATCCGTGGTGTTTGGTTGGAGCACACAGCCAGCGCAGTGTTGGTTGTCTGGAGGCCGTCGTGGCCTCGCTTTGTTGTTTTTTGTCAGTCGGGCCTGGCTTCAGAGGTGCCTCGAACACAAATCTAACATTTGATCGATCGTGTTCAAGTGTAGTTGCTGGTGCTGCTGTTCTTGCGCCCACCGTTAACATTCTGCTCGCTGCACGTTCGTTTGCGAATGTATGATTCCTATCGTGCTTTCCCTCTTTTTCTCTCCTTCATGTTCTCAAGCGTACTTCGTGCGTATCGTGTGATTCTTTCGTGTCCCCCCGTTTTCTCATGCAGTGCAAGCAAGCAGCGGGTGTTCTTGCTAGACTACGGAGGAACCCTCGTCAAAGACTCTCCAATCGCACAACCGAAGGCGATGGATGCAAAGGCAGACTTTGGCAGGAGAAAGTCTAAGGTTAGTCAGTGCAGCACACCCCCGCTACCCTAGAGGGCGTTGTCGTGCCATACATCTATTATGTTGATTGGTCACCTGTATTCCACCAGTTGCTCCGTGCTTTTATTGTTAGCCTTTCAGAATTCCCGTGGTGAACGGGTGGAATCAAACCGTGATGCCATCACTTCTAATCAGCACTCACGAGTGTTTCTGCCAGATGGAGGCTCCGTGGTCTCACAGAAGGGTTGCTCCCCGACCCACCCCTCCGACAGCGCTTACCCTCTCGATTGTTTACCGCGAGAACCAAGACAGTATACCGACTTTTTTTTTCGTCCCGTGTTTTTGGTGTGCGGTTTTACCGTGTGCCGTACATACCGCGATGATCCGACAGGCTGCCGGGTTGCGTCCCGGCAGGGCGCTCCAGGAGGGGCTTGCTGAGCTGTGCCGGGATCCGTGCAACATCGTGTTCGTCATCAGCGGGCGCGGGAAGGATGAGCTGCAGGCGGCTTTCGGCCACATCAAGGTAAGATGCTACGTGAAAGCCCCTCGCTCGCCGTTCAGTCGGTTTTCGCTGAGACTCGAGGCGCACACCTGTGCGAGCTTCGCAAGGGTTGCTGGTGTATTCTTTTAGGCGAACGGATGTTGTAACTTTCGTCATCTGTTAGCGAAAGGCACGCCTCTGCTTTCATGTGTTTCTGTCGGCGAAAGACGGGAAATATGCCTTGCCTTAGGAAGACTTGTCGGTGAATAGCGTGGTGAACCATCGCAGTACCAAAGCGTTCGAGCTCAGCGCCACTCCCCTGCTTTCCGTCACTCGCGCGATTGATAATCCCTCTCCCTTGGCGTGAACGTGACCTTCCATCATTGTGTGGCTCGATTCGACTCGCTTGACTCGACTTGCTTGACGCCACTACCCGACGTGATGCCATGCCATGCCATGCCATGACAGGGACTTGGACTGGCCGCGGAGCACGGGTCATTCTACCGCTGGCCTTCGAACGACAGGTACGCTTTTCTCAAGTCAAGATTACCGCATGTTTTCGGGATGTGTACCATATCTGCTTGCACCACCTCGTCATTTGTCATAATATGTAGCACTGACCAAGTCCACCACGAAGCAAAATCGTTTCGATCGAAAGCCATTGGGCAATAAATAACGAGCGTGTTCAACAAGAATCACACGGTGGGAAAATGTGGCGCAAGGGTTTGATCGCTTTCTTGTCGAAGTCTACAATACACGAGAGCTTTCATGTCGTGGCTGGTTGATTGTTCCGTGCGACCCATGATATCATATCGCATATGACAGGGAGTCCGGTGGTGTGGGCGTCGGTGGGGACGGATGGGAGGCTCTGCATCCGGGCCTGATGGACACGGCGTGGAAGTCGGTGGCGAGGCGCTTCATGCAAAACTTCCAGGTTAGGGTTAGAGCTAGGGTATTTGGGCCATTTTATGCACACCGATTTTGCTTCCAAAGTTTCCAAAATTCCAAATCGACAAGCAACATATTCACTTCATGGCACTTGATTGACTTGCATTTGTCCAATAAAATAAGGGTTTCTTGAACCAATCGAAAAGACACGATTTCCTTGACACAAGATTGGTCCTTTGGTGGTACTTGTACACCCCTTCGCCGGCTCAATCCATCCAACCCGAAGCCATCCATCTTCACGGAAGGCGACGCCACATCATTCATCCTTCGGTAGCACTTTCCCCCCTTCGCTGGTTCAATTCCCCGTTCAAACCGAAGACATGTTCACGGAGGGCGAAGCCACATCGCCGGTTCGGAGGTCCTATAATTCGACCAATCAGATTGTCACGTTTGTAATCGTGTCGGGCAATCAGGTCCACACCCACGGGTCGTACATCGAGGAGAAGGGCACCGCGATGCTGTGGCATTACGGGGACGCAGAACCTGAATTCGGAGCCATGCAGGCAAGAGCGTTTTTTTTTTTTCTTCTCGTGCAGGTGTTTTGGTCTACAGCAGTCTGAATGGACGACAATGTTGACAAGACCTAGCGACAGCTACCGCGCTGATTGGCCAGCACAAAAGTCAACAAAATTGTTGTTACGCTCGTTTTGAGGCAATGCTTGTTCTGACTCAGCAGCATGTTGCCTTGTGAATTGGGTCTTTTTTCTCGCCAGTTTTGATTGACGTTCACACATGCTGGTTGACCAGGGAGCTCTCCGCTGGCGACATGGCTGTTGTAATATTTGAGAGAAGTTGAGGTGCTCGTTGCTTAGAGTCTGCCGTCGACAGGCATTTTCGGAAGGATAAAAACAGCAGGTCCTGTACCCTGTTGACCTCTTCACCGATTTTTTGGACTTGGTTTGGGCTTGTATTGATTGATCAAGAGAGGTTAGTTCGGAAGGAGAAAAGCAGCAGGTCCTGTACCCTGTTCACTGATGCCTGGACTTGATAATATCCAAGCACATGCGCACCCCTGGTTTGTAAGATACGCAGCTACTCATGATTCGGTTGGATGGCGAATGGTGTTGAGTTGCTCAACAGCACAGTACAACAGTCGTGCGTTGCGGCCTGGTCTCGCTGTACTGTAACAAACCCCTCGCGGTACGTGTGAAGGTGTTAAGTGGTGTAGGGCAGGCACGCTCCTTCCGAAGCTGGTGAG